CTTAACTGCTAACCAGAAGTCTGATGGTTCAAACCCACCAGCCACTCCTCAGAAGGAAGGTTGGGCAATCTACTTCAATAGTGATACTGCCTTGGAAACCGAAGGAGGGGTCGCTATGGGTCAGGGCCAACTCGATGGCACATAACAACAACAGCAAGTCATATACTCCTCTTATTGGGGAGGAGATCAGGTTCCTGACTCATGTTCACATTAGTAGAATCAGTCAGGGCCTCAAGAACAAAACAGGGGGGAAGGAGGCTAAGAAATGTCATACTGAGTAAAAAGACACATTTGCTTTATATTTGAAAAAAGTGAAGATAAGCAAGATGCCTATAGAAGTCTGTGTTTTGACCAGGTATCCACACTACCCACTGTCTGAACGAGAGAAGAAACACCACTGAACCCTTCTTTACCCTTTTCTTCCTTTAGAGAACTGACCACTTGGGACAACACAGGACCAATTGTGCATGTATTCTTCTAAGAAATCAAAAAAAACAAACACACTGCCATTGAGTCAGATCTGACTCATAGCGACCCCTCATTGGGTTTCCAAGGCAGTATCACTACGGAAGTTAGATTGCCCAACCTTCCTGCCGAGGAGTGTCTGGTGGGTTTGAACCGCCAGCCTTCTGGTTAGTAGTCTAATGCCTAAGGCACTACAGCACCAGAGCTCCTATGCATTCTTCTAGGTATACAAAAAATATTTAAATACAATGGCATAGTCTTTGTCATGACAATGGAACACTGTAGAGCAGTACCTGTATACTCAGCTGCAATAGTTGAAGTCAATATTCCTCTGGATAAAAAGGAAGATGTGAAGTCTAGCCCAGTTGTCTCAAAAGAGGAAGATATTAATGAAGACACAGTTGCTGTAGAAGGGTGTGTCACTCCAGTAGATATGAGTGGAAATGAGGCTCCAGTAGCAGTGGAAGAAGTAGTGGTTTTTTGGGGAAGGGAGTCCAGTGTGGGCTTAGGAAGAACTAAAGTAGGGGATGTTGATACAGCTGGGATGGCACTCCATGAAGATGTTGTTGTACGATTAGACAGATGTATAGAACCCATGGATAAGGTGTGGTCAGTTGTAAGAGGTGACATACTCATCCTGCTAAAGGATGGAAATTGAGATACAGTCCTGGAGTTGGCCATATCAGTGGTTCTAGGGGATACCCTAGGGGATGTGGAAATGTATACATTGTCATCTGTGATTTTTATAGACATAGGTAAGGAAGTTGGGGAGTCAGTAGTGACGCTAGCCAGTGTAGGTCTAAGAGTGGATTTGGTGAGTATGGTGCCTCCACTAGCAAAGGGTAGTGTTGTAAAGTTAGTGAGCAGGTGTTTTGGTGTCATGTCAGAAGTCAGAAATGTAGGTTTAGACTTCTCTACTATAGAGGAAGTTATAGCTTGAGGGGCCTTGGATATAGTTGCCGGAGGAGAACCTGAAGGGAGACTAGATGAGATCCCAGTCAGCATGGGTAAAGTAGTAGCCTTCGAGATTTTAGATATTGCAGTGGCACCAGAAGGTTTCAATGGAAGTGTGATCCCGGGAGTTACAGATGTGGTTTTCTTCTCAAGTGTTTGCTTATTGTCAGCCAAGGTGGTAGGGATAGCTCTTGAAGATGTTGGTAATGAAGGACTCTCAGAGAGCCCAAAGGTAGGAACAATTCCATGCGTAGGAACTGGTGACTTTGAGATAAAATATTCAGATAAAAAACCAGTCTGAGAGGCTGTGAATGTTGATAAAGACCCTGGGACAAGTTGTAGAGTTGCTGTTTCCATCTTGTTGGGTGTAGGTACATGAGCAGTGGTGGAAATTGGAAATCGAGAATCTGTAGGTGTGTGTGCGTTCCAGGGAGTCTTAAGCAAAGACTGAGAGTGAGTAGATGTTATTGCTGTTCCATGAACTGGAAATTCAACCATGTGGGATGTAGAAACTGGTGAGGTCTTTGCAGTATAGAACTCAGCTTCGATACTATGAGGTGAATAAAGAAATGATGTCAAAGAGAGTGGAGTTGCTATGGATGGAATCAATGGAGGATATGAAATAGGAGTCTTCGCAGATGTGGCACTTTTTGTTAGTTCATCTTTTAAGGAAGTATTTTCTGACAAGGAAGTCATCTTTCCTATATTAGAAGAAAGGTAAGTAGTGATTTTCATACTTTTTGTGGGTCCAGGAGTATTGTTAAAGCTAGTCAAAGATGGAGAAACCTTATTATTCAAGGAAGTATGGAGATTATCTGAAGGAGTAGGCACACTTTTGGGGACTATAGTTTTAGAATAAGTATTTGTGAGAGCTGTCTCTCTACCACCAATCACAGTAGAGAGGTAGCTGTGAGAAATCCCAGGTAATATGCCAAGATGTGTAGCCTCATCTCCTTGTGATGGTTGTTGGGTTGTTGAGAGAATTGGTGAAAATGTGGTCATTGGAGTAGAGGAAACAGCTTCAGTGTTCTTAGAACTGAGTAGGGAGAAGACAGTGGTCCTTATCAGTGGAGTCACTATCCCAGCCATAACAGTGGTTGGGGTGGTTCTCACAGAGGGAAAAGTTGACTCTTTCAGAGTGGAAAAGGATGAAGGTGTGATCCTGGAAGACATCTTTGCCATTTCTGAAGTAGTGAAAGCAGAGGAAACCACTGTGCTTTTTGCAGTAGGCCCAGCATATGTCACAGGTATGGCATCCAATGTAGATTTTTCTATAGTCATAGTAGTCTTTGGGGTAACTGAAGATGATGAAGTAGAGAACGACCTGACTGTTGTGGGAGTGTCAGAAGAAACAACCACAGATGAGAAAGCAGAGTCAGTAACTGACAGTGAGGATATCTCAGACATAGGCCCAGAAGTGGCTACAGATGGACTTTTCAAACAACCTGTGGGCATTATTTTAGAAGACTTAGTCATTGGCACTGTGGGAGCATCAGAACCTCTTTTGGAACTGAAAGCAGTGACATTAATTGGCAGTGAAGACATCTGGGAAATATGAATAGGTGTTGCCATAGAGGTTTTCCCAAGAAGTGATGTGGGTACATTTGGAACAGAAAGGACTGTAGTGATCCTGTCAGTAGAGATTATTGTAAAATTGGCATTGAATAGTCCAATTGTGGAAAGAGACAGGGACTCAGGGGACGTCTGTGTGCTTTCAGAAACAGGAGAGGAAACTGAAGTCACCTCAGATTGAGTCCTAAGTGAAGGCAAGTGTAAAGTTGTTGTGTTGAAGGTCATAGAATTTGATAATCTGGCGGTGCTGGCAGGTGCAGCATCTACAAATGAAGTATCCTGATGGTGTGAGATGGGGTGAGTCACAGAGGTGGAGTCTATGGTCATTTCCACAGATCTGGGAGTATATACCGAAAGGGCACTCATGCTTTCTTTTTCAGGAGACAGAAAAGTGGTGATTGTCGTAGCTTGTGAAGGGAGAGCTGTTTTCCCAAGATTGGTAGACATTTCTGAAATATGAGCATCTACTGTGCTATTTGAGGTCAAGGTAGGTGTAGTCTGTGTGCTCCCATAAGTGAGAGATGACGCTGAATTCCGCTCAAGCAGAGTCCCAGGTGGAAACTCTGAAGGTGAATGTGTTTGGTGACTGGAAATTTTTATTGTTTCAGAAAATCCTGTATCTGTCATTTCCAAGGATGAAGTACCTTGGAAGTATGAAATAAAAGAATTCTTTGATGAGGACATTTCTGTTGCTTCCATAGTCCTAGGAGCGTTTCCCAAGGATGTGATCATCTGTTCTTTGTCAGATGATATGGCAGAGGTGTTTGTCAGCAATAGGGTGGGAACAGGTGTGTTTACAAGATGTGTGGAAGATTGAGAACTATGAACGTCTACTGAGGTAGTAAGCTTGTTGGGAGAGGTGTGTGAGGGCATGGTCTCATTAACAACAGAGGTCTCTGTGGTGCCAGTAATGAAGCTAAGAACATCTGTGTCATCACTGAAAGTGTATAGAAAGTTCAGAGCATGGGTAGATGTCTCTGGCACTGTAGCCTCTGCCACTTGAGATTTAGGCTGGGTTGCTACTGGTGTAGATGCAATTGACATAGCATTAGTGGAGGACACAACAGGTATGTTGTCAGGGAGAGATGTGGAAAAGGTAAGAGTATGTGTGGATGGAGTTACTGTGTCAGATGAGGTGGAAGGGAGGGCGGTATCAACCTTAGTTGTTATAAGAGTGGGGGGACTCATTGAGGGGACTGTAGTTTCTGTCAGAGAAGGAACTGTCATAGGTGTCATCCTGACAGAGATCACTGTGGCCTCTGAAGTGGTGAGAATAGAGTCTTTGTGGGTAGGCATGAAATTGCTGGTTGTGGAAGGAGTCTGACCCCATGTTGTCAATGGTGCTGTGGTCACTGTAGTTGATGGCAGAGTTGAGACATCTGAGAGCATAGATGTGGAAAAAGCCCTGGTCGGTGTTGAAGGCTCAGGCATGGTCACTTTAGTCTCATCAGACCCCACCATAGAGGTGACAACAGAGCCACCAACTGGCAGTGAGAGCATATGGGTAACAGGCCCAGAGGTTGCTGGGGAAGGAATAGATATAGGCTGTGAAGGTAAGGTACCAGCAGACAAGGACATAGCTGGCCTGTCTGTAGTTATGGAGAAAATAGTCCCAAGTATCCTTGCGGTGGATACATCCAGGAGTTCAGGGAATGTCTGTGTGTCTTCAGAAGTGGGAGATGGACCTGAATTCCCCTCAAGTGGTGTCTCTAAAGTCCAATGTGCTGTATAGGTGTGGGTGGAATTCAAGATGTCTGTAGTTCCATTGTACGAGCTCAAATGCTTAGGTGTGGTTTTCACAGATTTTGTCGTAAGCCAACTTCTAGTCTCAGTAGTTGCAGTTTTATTATCCACTGGAGTAGTAATCTTTTCCATATTGGGAAAAGGGGAAATGGTGGAGGCTGTCACCATTTGTTCAGATTCACCTGTTGCCTCCAGCATCATTGAAAATGCAGAAACCTCAGGAGTCACTGCTGTCGTTGATTTTCCCTTAAGATAATGGGAAGTTGTTTCTTTTATTGTCACAGTAGCATTGAAAATTTGTGTTGTCACAGACTTTGGAACAAGGGCTGTTGTCTCTCCAAATACAATTGTACTATTTGTGTCGGTTTGTGTGGTCTCAGAAGAGCTCTCCTCAGTAGAAAAATTTGATTTAATGTCAGCAAGGGTAGATTCCATATCTTCTGGTGGAATACCTGTTCCCCTTGGTGTTGAAAGAAGTGCATTTGCAGCTAATGTAGACCTAGGGGTGGTTTTCAGTAGTAAGGTTGTAAGTTTAAGTTCAGAAGGTTTGGGTACAGATGTGGTTCCAGAAACTGTGGAGGAATTAGCAAACCATAGAGATGTCAGTTTGGATACAGTTGTTGTATATCTGTCTGTAGTGGCAGTAATAGCATTAGTGGCAGTAGTAGGCTCACTCTCTGTGGATGCTTCTGGTGGAGTGATGATATTAGTAGTTATGAATGATTGTTCTGTATTAGAAGTTCCCCCATGGAATGCTGATGTGAAATTTACATTAGGTATAAATGTAAGTATGGTGCTTGCATTTATAGATGTCAAAAGATTCTGGTCTGACCTTGAAGTCCAAGTGGTCTCATTGGTGGGGAATAGGTGGGCAGATTCATCAGTTATAGTTGTATGACCTGACCCAGATGCCTTGGTTGTGGAAGCTGATCTAGTGGAACTCAAAGGAAGTATATTTTCACCAAATGTGGGCCTATTCTGTGTATATACTGGCCCTGTGATTGTGGGAGAAAGTATAGTTTCAGCCACTGTAGGTGCAAGTGTGATTCTAGAAGTTAAGACTGTAAGTGTAGTCTCATCATCAGTAACTGTCTGTACACTCTGAGCTCCAATGAATGGAGAGGATGTCCTGAAAGAAAGGGCCATAGAAGAGGCCTCTCTTGGCATGGAAGTAGAGATGGCACCCTCCACTCTGGGTGAAGAGACATCCTGGAAATTTGCAGAAGTCAATTCTGTTCTAGCTGTTTTTAGGGAAGATGTGATATCAATAGGCTTAGTTGGAAGAGTCATTAAATGAACTGTAAATGCTATTTCCGTATCAGTTGTTGCTGATGTAGATGCGGTCTCATTTCTAGAAAATGCAGAGTCCACTAGAGCAGCTGTGGAGATGAGCTCAGACTCAGGTGGGAATGCTGATGCATTCCCAATGTGAGTAGTTGTAGCTGAAGTTTGTTCCACTGTGGACCAAGGTACAGTTCCAGCAGCTGAAGGTTCAAGAAATACCTGGCCAGTTGTGGAGAAAGGGAGTGCCCCAATATCTGTGGATTTGTGTTTGGGCCAAGATGTTGTAAACATGGATGTCGACTCAGTAGATGAGAATAAAGGCGTTGTCTTCATAATGGCAGACTGGAATCTAGTTGCTGAAGTTTTAGCTACAACTGAATTTTTGGTAAATCCAGATGTGTATAAAAAATCAGTAGCAGTAGTTGGATGAAAGGTCTCAGAAGCAATGGCTTCAGTCATTTTTGTTGTCATCATCCTTTCTGAAGATGAAGATTTACTTGTTTGCATGGAATTGTTAGTAGTGATTATGGATGTACTCATGACAGGGCGAGTGACGGGTGCTGAAGTAGATAAAATGTCTACTGCTAACGTAGATGTGTTAGCTATAGAGGGCTTAAAATTTTTTGATGCAGTCATTGTTTCCAGAGATGTTGTGTTGGAATATATGGTGGCATAATCACTTGCAAACACAGGTATACTTTTAGACACCGCTGTAGAGGAATATAGAGTCTTTTGTGGTTTTAGTACGGTACTTTGGGATGAAGTTGTCAAATCTATTTGTTGTGAAAGAGCTGTACTTGTTCCTTGAATTGTTATATTATCAGAAACAACTGAAAAAATGAGAAAGCATGTGTTACTTTGTACTCAGCTTTAGAAACCAGACACAATTATTTAAGAAAGTGCTCTATAATTTCTTCACATTTTTAAGAGGAAATAATCAGATATAATCAAATCACCAGATTACTTGACATTTCTCTAGATGATTTTCTACTTTCTAAAGTCTCCACATGGTTCTCATAGTGAACTGGTTAAGTAACTAGTAGAAGGACATCCATTCTATCGTGTCTCCATAAAAACTATAGCCACTCCTAAAAGAGAGGTGCATGATAGTGTGCTGCACTAATTAAGAGGATCAGCTTTGGGAAATGAACCAATCAATTCTTCAAAAGACTAGCTATCAAAACTCACTCAAGAAGAAATAGATAGGGACTAGGCAGAAGGATTGCACAGACCCTCTTCAACAAAGAAAAGGGAAACCAATTAACACAGACACAGAAGATAATCCTGGACCCCTAAGCCTTAAAGAAAAGGATACAAAAGTGGACTAAATCCCAACTAGCAGAAGAATTTGAGTGAAAATACCAAAAAAGGAGACACACAGAGCTGCGGTCTGGCAGCGACAGATGGCTTGGGGATTCCCAAGTGGTGGTAGGATCTAAGAATTAACCTAAAAATCACCCTGCTAGCCAGGGACTGCATGTAGGACCGTGCATGGTGGCTGGGGAACAAACGGAGAAGGTGAAGAGAAAGGTGGGCTGAGCTGTGGACTTTTGCCGATCCAGAGGGCACCGCCATTCTGTATGTTTAAAAAGCGGCTTGACTATTTTGGATATTTAAAGAGACAGCGCTCTTGCAGATTTCTGGGGCTTAAGAACACGTTCTGCTTTCCAGCAACCCCAAGGACA